TATCCCCTTCACCCTATCCCACCACCTGCCCCAACCCCTTCTTGGTAACCCCTAGTCACTTCTCAGTGTCTGTGAATCTACTGCTGCTTTGCTCTTTCATTTTGCTTTGTTTTTATATTCCACCAATGAGTGAAATCATATGGTATTTATCTTTCTCTGCCTGGCTTATTTCACTGAGCGTAATATCCTCTAGATCCATTCATGTTGTTGTAAAATGGCAGGATTTTTTTTTCTTTTTACGGCTGAATAATTTTCCACCGTGTATATTTACCACCTCCTCTATATCCATTCATTTATTGAACAACACTGACATTGCTTCCATATCTTGACTATTGTAAATACTGTGGCCGTAAACATAGGGATGCATATATCTTTTCAAATGACAGATTTTGTTTTCTTGGGGTAAATCTAAAAGTGGAATTACTGGATCAAATAGTATTTGTATTTTTCATTTTTTGAGGAACCTCCATACTGCTTTCCACAGCAGTTGCACCAATTCATATTCCCACCTACAGTAAAGGCGGGTTCCCCTTTCTCCGCATCCTCACCAACACTTGTTGTTTCTTGTCTTTTGGATGTTGGCCATTCTAACTTGTGTGGGGTGATACCTCATTGTGGTTTTGATTTGCATTTCCCTGATAATTAGCAATGTGAAGTACGTTTTCATGTGCCTGTTGGCCATTTGTATTTCTTCTTTGGAGAATGTCTGTTCAGGTCCTCCACCCATTTTCTAATTAGGTTATTTGTTTTTTCAATGTTGAGACATATTAGTTCTTTATATATTTTGGAGGTTAACCCCTTATGAGATTAGTCATTTATGAATATATATTTCCCCATAACTGTAGGAGGCCTTTTTGTTCTGCTGCTGATGTCCTTTTCTATACAGAAACTTTTTAGTTTGATATAGTCCCACTTGTTAATTTTTAATTTTGCTTCCCTTGCCTGAGGAGATCTGTCCAGGAAAAAATTACGTCTACTTATGTTCAACAGATTTTTTTCTCTATGTTTTCCTCTAAGAGTTTTATGGTTACATGACTTACATTCAGATCTTTGATCCATTTTGAGTTTACTTTTGTGTATGGAGTTAGACAATAATCCAGTTTCTGATCAATTGGATTTTTTTTTTACAATTTGACTTTTTATGTAATCAGTTCCTTACATGTTTATTACCTTTTTCCCAGCATAATGCCAGATGTTTAGGTTATGAAGTTAAATAAATAACAGTCACTGATCTTGGGGAATTTGTAGATTAGTAAGGAGGCATAAGTAGATAATTAAAATACATTCACACATTGGAATATAAGTCTGTACTGCTGAGTGCAGTGAGCTGGACATTGCAAAATGAGCAGGATGAAGACTGTGCCATCAGAACTCATTACCTATTTTACCACCTGTTGCCACTCATTCTCCTGCCCCTGTCAGATTACTCTTCTATCCAACAGACAGGTGCTTTCCTTCAGCTGGGGTGGAATAAGGGGTCATCTTTCTTATTTATTTTGCTGTTATTTGATGAAGTGAAGGGATTTATATGTTCTTTAGGGATTGTTCATTGCAAACTTTGAAAAAGTAAATATTCTCTCTCAACTGGGGATTGTTTAGAAAATATTTAAAACTTAAGTATGATTTCCATAATACTGATATTCCTTATCTCCTGCCCATTAGTCAAAGACCAATTCTGGACTGACAGCATGGTAGAGCATTTGTTATCACAGTTATGTGAACCTATATTTGAAAACTCAGTGGATTTACATTTCACATTTGAAGAAGTCAGTATAAACAGAGCTCTATAAATGAAAAGTTCATGATATTAGACTAATATTCAAACCTGTATGCAAAAATTGATTCCTTAACAAAATATTACAGACTCAAAATACTTTTTGAATTTTGTAAATCAGATTGTTCCATGGCTATGGAATCAGAAGAGAGAAATATTTGACTTATCTGATTCATGACAATTTGCTTATATAAATTCACCATGAACCTGAGAATACTAACTTCTCTCATAATTTCCTGCCAGCACGTCCCCAAGTGGCTTCTGCTGACACTTTAACCTAGGTCTATCTTGTCTCTAATTTTGTAGTCCATGATATTATTTATCAATTTCATAATTATAATAATCTACAATTGAATTTTATTATTCTGTTTTTATTTACATCACCATATTTTATTTAGAAAATATAACTATAAAAATTATCCGATAAAAACTTAGGAGAGATAACATTTTATATAGTAAAATTTTCATGTGGTATATGCGCAGTGGAGGTGGTGAGTAATACAGAGGAAGGAAGACTGACCATCACTTGATGATTGTTGAATGGTGCTGAGAACATGACACTCATACATTCTTCTTTATCTGTGTATATTTTTGAAATATTCCTATGAAAAGTTAGTTTCTTTTGCAGCTGGCAGGAATAAAATGGAGACAGAAAAATTATTTATAGTGAAAACTTGGATTGGATGTGTTTTCACTCAAACAGCTTTTGGTGTGGCCTTCTTAATGTACATTTATGGTCTCAGAATTGACTCTCTCCTTAAAGCCTTGTGGTTTTGAAAATTGAAATGCTGTACACAAGCAGATGTTCAATCTGATTGCTTCTGCATGTGCCCCAGATAGATTTGAGGCTGATGTTGGACAGATGGAAATTGGCAGACTTGTTGAAAAGCATTTGGTGTTAAACTATTAATTTCTACTAAGATACAGTTCACATAATCATTTCTGAATTGATATAGATAAATTTCAAAGTTTGAAATCAGAGAAAGAATAGGTGGAATTGTGAGAGGCAAACAGTATATTAGTGCTATGACACTGAGAGTTCAATCTATAACAGTTTTTCTATTGTGGAAAGACAGTGTAGAACAACCCCTTTACAATTAACACTTTCTATCTGGGCACAGTACCTCTCATGAATTGCTGTCCATTAGTGGATTGATGGGATTATTTTGGGGGGGTGGGGTGGAGAAGAAGCTATGATATGGTAGGAAAAAGAGTCCCTAGGTTATGAGATCTTAAAACATGCCCGCTCAATGTGCACACACCCAAATAGATACAGGATAAGATTAGTGAATAAATGACTCTGTTGAGAGATGAACTGTCTATCACCTGTCCAAATACTCAAACGGGGAATGTTGAACAGTCAAGCGCATGATCTGCTCCTGACCACTGAGGAAGAAAGCAGCTGACCGAGAAACTGAATGACCCGTAGGAAAAGTAATAGGGCCCTAAGAAAAGTTTTCCAGAATTCATGGATTGTACTGGGTGGCCCAACAGAATCTTGGTGTGCAGGGATCATTTTAGGATCAGTGATTTAAGAGGATATAAAGGAGAAAGAGATGATTGGAAAATTAGCTGTAAAAATTCTAAGGTACTTACTTCACTGGCTATGATTTTAACATCTTCGTTTTTAAAAATCAAAAACTACAATTCTCTAATATGTTGAGATCTTGGAGGAATAAAACACCTGAGCAGTCTGGGGCACTTTTGGTGATCTTTTAGATCTATTCTTTCATCCTTTCATGTACCAGTTATTTATTAAGAGCCTACTAAATGCTACTTATAAAGGTAGAGTTAGAGCAATAGTTAGAAATATATTAGTTAAGAATTTGATATCTATAAGTAAATCTTGGCTAATTATTAATTGACATCTATTCTAGGCATGACAAAGGTAACACTAACATGAATTTTCATGGGGTTTTCCTCCAGAAAAAAATGAAAATTTATAATAAAGAGATCACAGTAGAATAGACTCAATTTAATTTCAGCAAAAGATAATTGGTCTGAAGAATTAAATATGGTAATAATGAAAATCATATATAAAAATCAAACAATGCTGTTTTTACATAAAAACAGGATGAAAAACTTGCATTTTCATAATTACGATTATGCTATAAATGAATAACTCACCAAACCAGAGGTAAAACATGAATTAGAAATTGAGCCTCTTTTGTTTGCCCAAAAAAATCATGGAAATTTTATGATCCTTTGACAAGTTATTATGATTCTTTCTTATTATTTTATAACTCTAACTAGAATTATAATATTAAGCAAGCTGTAGGTAACATTTTATGGTAACTAAATGAAAGATTGAATATGTATTTGTGTCAATTACTACATTTATACCTAGCTTAGTGCATATACATAATAGGTCCTAAATAAATTTGTAATGAATGAATGAAGGTCACTATCAAAAGCACATGACCAGGGTCTTCCTTCCCATACCGTTAAACTATAATTTAATTTTTGAAAACTTAGTGAAGATAGTCATGAACGATTACTTAGTGAAATATGAAATGAGCCATTGTCTTTCAAAATCTTGATTTCCTCTTTGTTTTTCATGCTAATTTAATAAATAATGTACTTGTGTTCATCATATGTTTTTTGTTTTTTTTTTTTTGGTATCCTGCTTCTTTAAAAAGAAAATTCTGAACAAACGAAAATAAGAAAACAAAAACCTAAGACAAGAGGGAAGAAAGATTCCAAATGAAACTTGCCCATTCTCCCCAAGGCACGCTGTTGCCAGGGTCGCACGGCAGTGTTTGACCAGAGGCACCGCCGCGGTATGGGAATGGCATCCTAAGTCAAAGACTGCAGCTGAAAATTAGTTGTTCTAAGCTTTATACTCGTGCTCGTTACTCCATGACCTTCAATGAAACTCTTTATGTCTTAATCTTTTTCAAAGGGCCGATAAAACAGAAATAATTTACAAAGAATTCTGAAATATTGAAATGCAGGCGCTAAGCAAATGCAACACGTTCCATAGACAGTGAACAGTGACGCAAATAGTTCTGGAAAGTTTCCTTTTATATTGTTTTGGTTCATTTTTTCATCTCAATAAGCCTAATTCTCAGTGATTCTCCATATATGGTGGTCATTTCTTAACAGAAATACTGAGCACCAAGGGCAGTGTTTTTTTGTTTTGATTCTGAAAATTTTCCCTTTTTTTGTTTTCTGTCTTTCTGAAATGATACTTCATAGTAATTACTTATCTTTTTCTTTTTATAAGAACCAGGGAAAACTCCTGAAGTCAAACAAGGAACTATAAAAGCTGCAGCACAAGGTAAGTAATAAAACACTTGATAAATTCCAGTATATATTTTTTAAGTACACAGCATTTTATTGACAAAAGCAAAAGCCATTTATTGCAGAATAGCACCATCTGCTGGGTTATTATAGAAAATATTATATTGCATTAAAATAAACATTTCTATAATTTATACAGTCATTGAGGAAAGCACAACTAAAAATGTCGAATTTGCAGAGGAACCACAGAAGGACCCGAGAACTAGATCTTGACTCCAAACTTCAGTTATTGACTTTTTACTTATGTTTCCAAAACTAAACCATAGATCAATTGATAGAGATATAAAATAATATTCAGATTTTCCAGTGTATTCAGTTACACCTTGTAATTTGTGTCATATTAGAAAAACCAGTGAGAATGTTAAGTTAGTATTACCTCATCTACACCATGACTGCAAAAATCAGGTTTCAGCTATGACTATAAAGTAATCACCATAGCTTCTATGAGCATCTGAGAAAATCAGTTTTATCACTTACTAGTATCTTTGGAGCATCAAAAGTAGTTTTCTTTAAGAGACCCCAGAAAAATATTAATTCTTCAAGTTTTGGGAATATATTTTTTAAATAATTTTCTTATAAATTTATTTCTTAAGCATCATCTGTAATCACATCATCTAAGAAAGCTATTCTAAACTCCACTGTGCCCCCAGTCAACAGAATGGAGTATGAGTTGCATGACCTTTATTCTCAAATCATGAGGAGTAATTTGATGAAATCATTAGGGAAGAGCACAAGTGTTCTGCCTTTGTCATGTATGAAAACTTTACAGAACACACTTGGGGAAAAAAAGGGTAAAATATTTAGTGGAAAAAATCTTTACTTGCTCTTTTATGCTACATTATTCAATAGTGAGCAATAAAGGAGATATATTTAGGTGGTGGTATATTTGTTTCTGGACAGAAAGCCCTTGTAGCAGACTCCTCAGCATAAGGCATGATTGTATCTGACCAAAGTTTTCTGTTATAATTAATCCTGGACCCAACTATTTGCAGACAGTAAATATTGGTAAAATGGGCTGGCTAAATTTCACTTGACCCAATGATGTTGTTTATGAGTAATATGTACTAGAATGATTAAAAGCTAAGATATGTTTTTAGTCTTCATTTGATCATCAGATTGTTCAAGAAAATGGATTCCTCTTTTGGAGAGTTCTAATAGGAAGTGTAATAAATATTATAGAAGGTAGAAAGGCAGGGCAAATGCTATCATCACTTTTGGTTTTTATTCATAAAAACGCAACTCAGAGTGAATCCCTCGAATGTGTACCAGTTCAAGGAATCATTACGGTAATGTATACATGTTCTCATAAAAAAAACACAATTGCCTTAAGACACCTTGTTTAGAATGAGGCTTCTGTGGGCTACGTGGATGTGGAACTATGACTTGAGGCAGAAATTTAATGTTACTCCTGTCTCGTATTCGAGGGAATGAAATTGAAGAACTATCTGGAAACTGCTTCAGCTTTGAACATTGGGCCCTGGGCTCTTCATTTTTACATTCCAACCACACTGAACAAAGCAGTCTCAGAAATCATGCCTTTGGAGTAAAAGATTTGTTGTTGAGTGAATAATAATATCCTTGAGTTTCAAAGACTTGTCAGAGCTACACTTCTAAGGAAATTAGATGAAAGTGTTGATTACATACAGTGTACAAAGCAGGAGTTGGGATCTGTTTACTAAAATGGCAATGACACGTCAGTGGGGACACACCACACAGGGACAAATGTCACTGGTGTTGTGTACATTCTCCACAGATCTTTCTTAGACAAATTTTATACCCCCCATAGATACATAATTGAATTATGCCTACAAATAAGCGATATCTGTAAGTGCTTCATGCGGAGACAGAGCTTAAACACAACTGGCAATGTTGCGATAGCAGAGGCAAAATCGATAATGATGTTGGTAGTGTGGTAAAAGGTTAGAGTATATCTGTTCATTTATTTATTTATTTTTACTTTTATAACAAATGAAATTTAAAATCCAGTTTCATATAAATTGTGTGTAAAATATGCATATTTAATTATAATTGTTATGAAGATTTAGCATGCATTGCTTGCAAGTGTTTTTTTTTTTAAAGTAGCAGAATTTTGAGGCATTGAGGAGACTGAAATAAATGTCTGTATGCTAGAGGAGACTACAATATTGAGATGCAAGAAAATTTTAAATATAACAATTAGAGGATCATGCAGTACTGAAATGAATTGCAGAGTAATAAATACCATATGAGTTAAGACAAAGTGATTATCATTAAGGGCCGGGGGTCGAGGGGTTCCTCATTAACTTGGACTTGGAGCATGACTAAAACCTAAATTAGCAGAAGGAAAATGCATTGTTAGTGGGAAGATGACTTAAGTAAATAAAAAGAGTTCGTAGTAATTATGACATGCAGTTGTCATTATCAAGACATGAAATGATGCCTCAACTATAATGGTACCAACGACATAAGAAAAATGCAAATAAGAAACAGGATGATTATAATTGTCATAAATAAGTCCCAGGGAAAAGAACTAGCTTAAAAGAAGAGATGATGACTCACTTTTGGACAGGTTTACATTGAACAGATGGAGGGTCATCCAGGCAGTCGTTGACCCACCAGTTACAACTTAAAGGGGGGGATCAATCTAGTTCATGAATTGTGTTGAAGAAAGGAATATAGATTAAAATGGGAAAGGAAGGAGAGAAATAAGGAATTATTTTTTAATCAGGTGCAATGGTTGGAATAAAATTGAATGAATTGAGAATGAAATGCCTAAGGACAGAAACCATAGTGGAACTCACCTTAAAAGATGGATCTGTATGCAACTGTATTAGTAAATTACCAGAGGCTTTTTTTTCTTTTGGACTCCTAAAGCAAATATTAAACATCTTATATATTTATTATACATAGAAGATAGGAAGAGAACAAAACAACTGAAATATCAGCCATTGCAGTCTCATTAAGATGCAAAAACCAAGAGCCCCAGTAATTCAGAATCATGTCTCCTGAGTAAATTTAGCAGGCATCCACCCATATAATCCAGTTAGTAATTAGAGTCAGGCAAATTAAATTGAGGGGCTACAGAGGGACACATAGAACAAAAGTTACAAAACCATCCTGGACACAGCTGGACCCCGAAATCTTGGTTTTGATTGCCTCTGGACATGGAAGCCAGTTTGACAAATCACACAGCTTTCCAGATAGCAGTGAATAAAAGCCACCCACCTTTAAGAGACACAGAGCAAGAAGCAAAGCTGCTGTTAAGTGACAAAGGAATGGGTCAAACTCCTTCATTCCACTTTTCTCTGCTATTGCTGGGAAATTGAAAACTAAAACTACTGAAGAATATAAGAATGGGGAAGTGGAAAATGTGTACTATATATGCGCTCACATGCCTGCACCTGCACACGGATGTGTAAACAGTATTCTCCTTGGACTGTTTTAGGAATTTTAAAAAATGTGATATAGCTACAAAAGATTTTGACAATTCTTGGAGGACTTTAAGTTCCAGAGTTTTTCTTCTCTGTAGCCATTCACCATTCATAAAAGAAAATGTTTTTTTCAAAATCTACCCATGTTCTCGGTCCTCTTTCTGGCATTGGTTGCCCTTCAGGAAGAGGGGCTTTCTTGTCTAACTGATGAAGTTCAGGTACACTCCCTTGCCAGGGACCCTCACAGGGATCCTAGGAGGGAAGCAGAGCAATTTTTGATTTTTTTGATTTTGTCTTATTTTGTTTTTCTTTAAAGAGCTCTCCACCCAAATCCCTTGAAACAACTTGAGAGAGGTTATGACTTAAATTATGGGAAATGTTGCGGAGATAATTTTACGAGCAAAGTAAAACAACAACCTCTTTTACAATATCTAAAAGGACAGCAGCATTTCATTTGTTTTGCTTATTGTACACACTCTTGGCAAAATGAGAAAATTCAAGTGAGTTCCAGAATCAAAATGTATACTTGTTGGATGATTTTTAAAATTCTTGAAGAAGATTCTTATTTGTAAAGTAAAGCATTGATAAAAATAAGTTTATTTGAGTCAGACGTGCAGGGCTTACTTAAATTATGCCTCACAGCTTTAAAATCTATCAGGCAATATCCATATTCTTTAACTCATTTTAGTTATCTTTATTACTATCTTCATTACATCATTGGAAAAGACAAATTTTTAAATTTGAAGTTAAAAATTCCTATTTATAATTATAAATATGGATCCCTTATACATTTTGCATTAGTTAAAACTCCATTAAAAGAAAGATGTCACAAAGTAGAATTAATTAGTTTGTAAATTTACTTTTTTATTACAAAAGTAACTAATAACATTCAGAATATTAATACATTGAGAGTAACACTTATTAATATTAATGACATTTATAAATTAGGGAAAAAATTCACATGTAATAAATTAAAATAATACATTTAAATATATTCTTTCTTAGTCTTTTGTTCTTGACCTTTAGATCCAACTCTTCTACTTTCTCCACAAGCATGTAGAAATCTTTTGATGTCTCTTACGACATAATTTCTTCGCTGCCTTTATTAAAAGTCTGTTGTGAACACTGAATGAGATAATGCACATGAAAGTGCTGTGGCAATTGCAGCACAGAGTAAACACCCAAGGTAGTCCTAGATGTTGGTTCAAAGTGGTCCCCCAGATTCTAAGTCACTCAGATGGGATTACTCTAAAGGGATGCACACAACCTCTGAGTCATCTAATGTGGCAGAACACTGCTCTGAATGGGTTTGGTTCTCAGTGAACTTTACACAAAACCAGGGCCATCTTGCTTGTAGTAATCCCAATGTGACTACATCCCCCTAAGACTTCCAGTAGCACACATAAACTATAACCTGGATACAGATTTAGATTCACTATCCAGAGTTAGATGAATTCCACTAGAGAGGAAGTCAGAATTCAAAGGTGGTTGAAGCATGCTATACCTTTTCTCTGCTCAAAAAGATGTCATGCGTTTGCTAAAAGGAGGGTGGGATTTTCCTTACCCCTTGCTAATGGGACATTTTATGTACTATTATTATAAACATAAGTAATAAACTAAAATATAATTCCTTGGTAGCTAGGCACATATAATTTATGGAATATGACCTCTACTGTTTCTGTGGGTTTTTTTGCATACATTTAGTCCTATTCTTCTAGAAGTGATTTTCTCAGGTATAGCAATTTCAAACCTAAAATTAACTTACACTAAACACATAATTATTAGTTTGACTTCTTTTCTATGGAACAATATTTTTAAATTATTTTTTGTCTTTATGTCTATACCTGAATTAAAAAAAACTCTTTGAAATTTTCAGTTTATTCTCTCATTGCAGATTTGCATGGATTAGTTTGTTCATAGATAACCACTGAAATTATGAATTCATGGAATACATTCTCATATTCCCAGGAGGATTCTGAGGAATGGTCATTTAATATGTTTTAACATGATTTCCTTTGTCTTGTTTCAGCAGCAACTAAAAAAGATGAAAAGAAGGAAGGTATGTTTTATGCAAAATTCCACTATGTCTTTTTGTGTGAACAATTCACCAGTATTCAGAGTTGGGTTTTGACAGCTATATGTTTTCTTCTACTTCACCTCACATAAAAGAGTTGACCACTTTTTCAAAAGTAATTTTTTTTTTTTTGAGAGGGTATCTCTCATATTTATTGATCATATGGTTGTTAACAACAATAAAATTCTNAAAAAATGAGCGCTTAACTCCACGGGAACAAAAGGCCTGAGAGGTTCTCAGCTCTGAGGTGAGCTAGTGGAAAGGACTAGAGGATGCGGCTGCCGTGGGGGTGTGGCCAGCGTGATCAGGCTGTCTGTTTTTGCTAATCGTTCCTTACTGAAGTTAGGCCCCCACCCTTTCACAGACAGTGGGATATGGGGAGCTATTTCCTTCGATGATTACATTTCAAAGGAATGCCTCACAGGTCTTTAGAAAGATTTCTGGTTGTTGATTTATATTTCAAAGGGGCAGAGAAAGTATTTACAATTGCAAGTTTTCTAAAGTAAATGCTTCAATGAAAGGGAGGTAAGAGGCCTATAGCCAAGAAGAAAGCTATTAAAGCCTAGTCAAGCTGAGGGTTTAGTCTCAGTCACTGTGATTTTACTTAGAGATGTTTCTAATGCACCCTGACAACATTTAGACAAGATCTCTAGATATCACCAGTTTATTAATCTAGGCTTATTCTCTCAGTAAAACTAGCACGAGGATCTAAGCAATCACTTCTAACTTGGAAAATGACAGTTATATTCTAATTAGTGTTCATATAACCTCAGAAAAATAGTGTTATATTTTATATTTAGTCAGAATTTCACATAATCATGATAGTTTGTGAATCACATTCTGCCTCTGTTAAACAGAGACCTAAGAGTCAATAGATATAAAAAGTAAAATTATTTTAGCTGGTCATTATTTGTTCAGAGAAAGAAAACCCATAGTACCATAATAAAGTTAACTAAGACACCATAGTGCTTATTTTCAAGATATTGAAACCAGTATTAATTCCCCATATATACATAGCAGAGTATTTCAGTGTATTTTGGAAATTATATCATTTATATGATTAATATTATGGTTAGTATACAGAGATATTATAATAAAAAGAGGTAGTAAGTTTCTGGCACAGTTTTTGATAGACAAAAAGTCCTCAGAAATGTTACTCTTTCCCCCACTATTCCTTTTTAGGAATTAAAAATAATTTTCCATTTGACTTTGGTAAAGGAATGATATAAACAGTTTTTTCCCCTTCATTGGCATCCAAGCCAAAGTATATTAGACTTCTAAGTATATGGACAATATTCAAATTACAATTGCATAGCTTTTAGCTTTGTATCTGTTTTTTTTCCTTCATTGCTATGTTTCCAGGGTTTTTTGTTCTATTTTTTCCTGGATTATATGCCTCATTTCATTGTTCATTCTTTGAGAAACTGTCCATAATCAGTATACAATATTTGGAAAAGTTTGGAGAGCTGGGGTTTGCCAATGGAGAGTAAAGTGATCCACTAGCCGTCACAAGCTATATAAAGCTATATCCCTGATATGATGATGAAGATGGGGAGGGTGATGAGGATGTTACCATTTCCAAGGGGTTTAATATTATCTCTTATCTCTTGTTTGTTTGGAAAAGTTTTAGAATTGCTAAGATGATGACAGTTGAGAAAAAAGAGAGCTATCTAGAAAAATTGTCATTTTTCCCAATGCGTAACAGAATAGGTTTATTGTCTAAATAATCTAGGCAGTCATTTGATTTTATGTTTCATGAGTTCCTACTTCCTTTTCTGTACCTCCTGTTAAACAGGGCAGTGAGAAATATAGACATAAGACCTCAATAAAGATCATAAAAATCTTTTCCATATGGAGAGGCAGGAAGCACATGTTTCTTTGAACATTTAATACAAATCACCATGTACAGTTTGGATTTTCAACCCTTTATTTTGTGCAAAGTTATTTCTACTCACATTCAGTCTTTTGGGGTATGGTACAAATATACTAATGGTTGACAACTTTGGAGAAAAAGAGAATCAGGAGGGTTTGGGAACTTAGAATTCTTGAGATCTTTTGTTAGTGAATTTTAAAATAAAACACAAAAGTGCATAACAATTTCCTTACTATCAAAGATGATCTGTTTACCAGGGCAAGACTTCTTGCAGTAGTAAACTCTGAAGATGTGTTTTTCATAATGTAATCTTAATCCTGCATGTTTCATCAAGTCTCTTTGAGAAAACTTAACAAGAGTGACCCTTGGCTCCATTGAGTTTTGCCCACCAATTTTACTGTTCTATTAGGAGTTTTGACATCAGAGTAACCATATGTTAGCCTAAGTGTAGTGGCGTTTTTGAATAAATATTCAACTTAGATCATTTTTGACAAGCTTTTTCTACTAAAGTTTCCTCTGTATACCACTCTTTCCCTTCCTACAGGCACTTTCCTTGTAATCTATTAACACACATCCCCCTGTACTTCCCATGAAGTTCTCAGAGTCAAAATCCCAATCAAATTGTATTTTTCTCTATACAATGTACTTATTCTCTACTTATGTAATCACCCCAGTCTCCTTGTAGACATCAAGACTAAAATTCTGGAGTAAGCTTCAGCTTCTGTTTTTCCTTTGCCCCTACATTTAGTCCTCAAGAATTTTTAATTTAGCTGAACTCTCTCTTGTTTAATACTTCCCAAAATAATTAGAAAAGCTGCCCATTTAGTTGTGAACTTACATTGCCATGCATGACCTCACATTGGTCTTACTAATGTCTCATGCAAACTAACACAATGATCTCCAAAATCTGAGGTTCTTGAAATATAATCAAGGTCACCTGGAGGTCCCTGAGAACCTTTCAGTGGTTCTGCAAACCAAAACTATTTTTATAATATATGAACTTATCATTCGCCTTTTTCACTCCCATCCTTCCTTGAGGATTCACTAGAGTTTTCCAGAGGCTATGATAGTGTGTGATATTGCAACAGATTGAATTCTTAGGCAGATAGGCAAATTCAACTGTCTTCTCATTTAGCCAGGCATTCACAAAAGTGTAAAACAAATCACCATTTTATTTTTGTACTGGAAAATGTATTTGTCATGTAAAATATATTATTTATGTTAACATGTAACAGGTTTATTTTTTTAATGCATAAATATATACTTCAAAATTTTTTCAGCTTTAATTATTAAAATTATAAACATTAAAAGAGCTACATAGATAAAAATTTTGGGGGTCCTTTAAAATTGTTAAGAACTTAAAGGAGTCTTGAGATGAAAAAGTTTGAGAATTTTGACGAAATAATTATCCTGCTTACAGTGTTATCTCTAAATATTTTGGAAGAAAATATTTATGAATCCTAGGGGCTGGAAAGCCTGTGAGTATTCCAATACAGGTCATCTTCTGAAGGATACAGGTTATCTTCTGAAGCTCCATTGAGAACTAGCCAGATTAAATTTATTGTTTACCATAACCAAATCTCATCAGAAGATTTGTGTTCCACAGTGTCAGTTACCACAGCCAGCCACAGTCTGAAAACAGATGATTCTCCCTCTGACTAATTTTCAGAGGGTTCAACAGTCACTAAATACTACATAGCATTCCCAGTCACTCACCTCACTTCATTTCATAATGTAGGCATTTTATCATCTCACATAATCATAAGAACGATGAATGCAGTACAAGATATTTTGAGAGAGAGACATCATAGTCACATAACTTTATTACAGTATATTATTGTTCTATTTTATTATGAGTTATTGTTAATCTCTTCCTGTATGTAATGTATAATTTCAACTTTGTCATGGGTATGTGTATAGGAAAACTATAGTAAATATAGGGTTCAGTATTATCCAAGGTTTTGGGCATCCACTGGGGGTCTTGGATAGTATCCCCTGTGGATAAGGGGGGACTACCACGCATTGCTAAAGATGGTGATTGATGAATTGAGCAGATTGTAAACACATCAGCTTTTAAGTCACAGCTGCTGAGGGCCTTGGTGTTCCTATTAAAAGACCTGTTCAGATTATTTGGCAAATAGTCTGTAGGGAAGTGTATTCACCGAGTAAGCTTTTGTAATTTCAAGCATTATGATTTTTTTGGTTGCTTAGATATTTTACTTGGACAAGTTTGCTGCTCTGTTGACACCTCATCAAAAGACATGATTTTATGAGAGTATTTAAGTACCGTTCACTACAGCTCCCAGTTCTTACAGGAAATATATTGGACTTTTTAAAAATGTACTTGGTTAGATCATGGTTTATTATTTTTTACATTTCTACTTCATGAAATATTTTACTTTATCTCAGTAAGTTCTATGCTTGCTTGATCCTAGACTTCATGTTGATTTTTATTCTTCCATTTTAGTACAATTGATATCTAATACATTATATTATCAATTCATACCACTGGAGAGAAGGAAAACTATTAAAAACAACAGACGTTCCACAGATACACCCTTGCCAGCATCTAGGCAGAGAACAGAGGGTGGAAAATAATCTCCTAATGTGCCACATATTATCCTCTGTTCCACCATTCTTCCCAACTTTTATCTTCCGTTGTATTCCTGAATAACCCTGAGGTGTGCTCCTGTGTTTTCCATATTGGCTATGCTAGGCTCAGAAAACTGCTCACTGAGAATCACATAACCTTTGGACAGGTAGAATTCTATTTCAGTATACTAATAACTCAAGTGGCCATTGAATGATGCACTTCATACTTTTAGTTCTTGTGCTATAAAAATCTATGTATGCATATTACTAATAAATAGACATATGTGTAAGATGATATTAGTCATGTTCTTATATGAAATTTTTATATATAATGTTTTTCTATATATTTAAATTTCTTGCTTATCTGATTAGGATAATTACTCATGAAGGAAATGAATGAGAAACTGCTTATAAAGCATATGTTTTAGATTTCAAGTTTAGCCTACTCAGTTCCAGTTCCAGATGAGAAAATGAATATTAGAAAAAGATTGGGTTTTTTTGGCAGGACAGAATATTAAGAAAAATCTAGTATGAAACTTATTTTTGCTGTGCTATGCTGGATGTAATAGTGTTTTATAAATGTTTACAGAATTAAGTAAATGTTTTATTCCAAGCACCTATTATTTTTAAAAATCAGGTTTGTTTCTGTTTCCTGTAGACATGAAACATGCCCTATTACAGAAAAAAATAGAAATACAGAAAGAAGTCACAAAAACATCATTTTAATAACTGTATTTTCCTGCTGTGTGGAAATGCTATGATTTCCTTAATAGTTCCCCTACTTTTCAGAGAGTACTGTTTAATATCCCCATCATTAGTACGTAAAAATATTTAGTATGTAAAACTATTAAACAGAGAGCACTGTTTCATATTCCCATTATTTAGTACATAAAAACAAAAATCTTCCTATATGAAAAAAGAGAAAGAAGTATCTTCCTAAAAAAATGTTTACAATAATTTTATGTATTTTCTCTTTGGATTTCTAGAAGTGGAAATACTACATCAAAAAGCTTTCTCATTGCCATGACTTTCTAGATTCTTTCCCAAATTGCATTCCTAAAATGTGTTTCCATTTTATCACTTTCATGGAAAATGGTTGTTACTCCCACCAACTTTCATTTGTTATTTTTTCATAAAACAACTCAGTTGACCATCTAATTGCTTCTGGTGAGTAGACTCCTACTCAGTGTCATTCAAACATTTTAGGTCTATTACTTCATTGTGGAAGTAAAGCCATGGTACCAATCACATCACTGTAAGGCCCACAAATCCATTAACTTGCAAACTGTTGATGAATGTCTACTGTTCTAGGTTCTAAACCATGTAATTGTCAGTCAGAAAACAGTTTATCTGCCTTTTGCAAATATCAATTAATAGTTCATTATTATAATTATAATTTCAGTAATATTCAGAGAATTTCAAAATTGTGTTATTGAATAGAGTAAAAAATACAGAAGATACAAAATAAAATATTCTAAGCAAAGATTTAAGTTGCCTCTATCCTAAACTAAATGAAGGCAAAACCTCTTGTTTTTATTTTAAAGTGGTAGGAACAGTCAGATGGCCTAAATACTGAAAAATAATAAATTTCTCAAATTTAGGCTGAACACCCAAAAGACTAAAAATAAAATAGATGTCTGTTGACCACTGAATGCACATTATATATATAGCAGCTAGTAAATATATGATGCATTCATCTGTAACTTGTGAGCTGACATCAATCTGTTTCCCATTATAATAGGAATAATAGAACATATTGGAAATGTACTGATTATTTAAAGAGATTCACCTGATGGCTTTAGAATGAACAAATGAAGAAAATGAAAATTAAATTTATGGATTACAACTCATCTTTATGGAAACAGACATATGATTGCTCAGTTTGACTTTCCATTTAAAGGTTATTAGTTTTGATAGTCACAGTATAATCTCTATGCAAATTTTATATGGATATTTTCCTTTGCATTTTTTTCATATTTTTTCTTCTTTAAAGACTTCTTTACTTGCTGCCTTACTTTAATACTCATCCTTTCAAAAAGAATAATTTCTGTTTAAGCCCTATATTCTAGAAATATGTCATGCAACCACTCCAATTGTTGAAAATTGTTTCAAGTGTTTAGACATTTTATTGTAAGCTAATCAATTTTTATTTATCATATCTGCTTTAGCAATAATTTATCTTTGTGTTTTCAGATTTCAAGAAAACAAAAACACTTGCAGAAGGTATTGGAGATACTTCCTTTTTCTGTCTTATATTCAATGAACCCCAAATAATATTTTTTCTTAAGAGATTAACATAGAAGAAAAACTATATATGGGATAGTGGAGAGAGATTGGGAAAGACAATGAGAGTCAATTCTTTCTGACAACATCACTACAGGAAATATTTGACAGTAATAAAAAAAACACTGTATGTATTTACCTTTCACAGTAATTGTTTTCAAAGAAATGTTTGCTTGACAAGAAATTACACAGTGTTCAGTATTTATTTTACTAGAAAGCATAAATTCAATTAATCTTGGTTACGTCAGCATCAACTAGGAACTGAATTGTTCGTTTAAGTCTTGAACCATAACTCATCTGGCAAGGACACCTGTTGCTTCTGTATTTGTTCGTACGTGTTTATGTGTTCACCTGCACTCAAGAAGACTGTGAAGTGATGAAACACATAATCTTAAGTGATGAAACAATATAATTCAAGGTTAATTCATTCTCAACGTTTTCCCTTCAAATTATGAAAATAGTTATAACTGCAGAACAACACTCACAGTGAAATTTAAGGGGAGATAATGGAGGAAGGGGGGGCTAATCAATTATGTTGGTTGAGTAAATTTTTTCTAGCAATTGTTTCCTGTTTATATTTCTTTCAACAGAACAACTCAAGGGAAAAAGTAAGGAAGTGCATGCAAAGTGTTTTTATGTATATATATTTTCTGTTTACTACTATTATTAACCTGCTGATTTAGTTAGATTTGCAATTTTCAATGACCCTTTTCTTCATTTATGCATGTGAACTCTACTTCATATTTTTGTCAGATCTGAGGGGCAGAGTGGACTCAAAAACATGGTGGTTATTCTTAAAGTCCTGTTTCAAATTCATCCAATCACCTAATAATATTATCCACAGCCTCGTAACCAAAACCCAACTGCATTCTATTAACCAAGACCATCTACGTTAGTGGAAATTTAGTCTCTGTGACCTGTTTTGTTTTCAGTCCTTAGAGAAGACTGAATAGAGGCTCTTTTCCAGTTTAACTTTATAACCTCTTTTCCATTATCTTTCTTCTTGTCATCCATAAATATTTTGTCATGTTCACCTGATATATGACATTTTGCCCATTACATTATTTCTGCCCTGTACTCTTTGTGTAATAGCACTGCTTAGAATCCATCCCTTTGGCAGCATCCACTGTTGCTTTAACACAAAATAGTAAAGCTGTTTGCAAACGGTTCAGTAAAGCTTGATTTCTTGAAATTGTGTCTTTGTAAACACATGTTCTCTGAAGAAATTAGGATATATTGAACAAATGAGAACAAACAAAAAAATCTTAACCCATATAACTTAACCCTGTTTGATTAGCCATTAAAAGTAATCACATTCCCAGAAATGCTGAGTTTTTAAAGATCCCTGTGATATTAAACATATCTGCTTTAAAATACACATCAATTAAAAAAAATATTATGTATGTTTTGGTCCTACAAAAGGTTAGGATACTGACACACTCTATGTCATAAAAATATTCTAAAATGTCATGTGGAATGAATCGTGAAATTATAGAGCAGCTCAGCCAGGGGGAGCAGTCTATCTATAGAGAAGCATGTGTTCCTTAAGTCCCAGATTTATGTGCGTACACAGCTGTTGTTGAACTCTGGCACGCTGATACAGAAACCACTGTGCTAGGAAAAAGGAGAACATCTGAAGATTTAAAAAATGGTGTCATATAATATGTATGTATATATACATGATATACATATATATATGCATATATATATACAATGCACACATATACATATATGTATAAACTCATGGCCCTCAATTTATCACAGTCTACATAACTGAAAAGTTTGTGCTTCAGACAGACTGCAACTCCTTGACAATCTTCAGGGAACTGATATATTTAATTTTTAAAAAAATGCTTTCCCAGGCATTCATTTACATCCCAACTCCTGCCCTCATTAGGCTGTTTTATGGATGGTGACTTGGGCAGTAATAGGAAAAAGAAAGAGTTTTCCTCTAAACATCTATTCATTATCTTCAAATTAAATCATTTCTCTGGTTTATCATCTAGATTTGCTTTTATTATTATTTACTGCATCTTTGAATTTGTTTTAGTTTTTTGTCTTTAAGATGGTTTCATTCACTCTCCAGCCCTATATTCTTATTTTGCTTCTATTTTTCTAGTTACCTTTACTTCAATTTTTAAAAAATCAGTGTTGGGAAACAAGATGAAGAGTACATGGGACTTTCCTGCACATACTTTTGCGAATTCTTGTGATCAAAATATTTTCAAGTTAAAATGTGAAAAAAAAAAAAAAACTAAAGAAAAAAAATCTATCACATGCATAATTTGACAGTCCCATGGAATAATGGGTAAATTAACTTCTGGTTATTAGGAGTCATTTAATAATTACTTTCTGAATTATTCCATATAATAAATATTCTTGCCAACCTTTTCCTGCATATTGTTTCAAATTACTACAGGTATTTTTCTCCTTATATGATGGCTTTCTGATGTAATTAGAAGGCTCTTTTTTAAACTTTGAAATCTCACATATAGCTGATGTTTGATTTAGATGCATACCGTAATCTACTCTCAGTATTTTTTCTTTATTATCATCATTTTACAAATTTCTTAGAACTTTCTGCTTTGGTTCAGCATAAATTAAACAATACATTGAATTCAAGTTTTCCAGACAACTTTGGGGTTAATTTTAGCTAACTTTTGCCTTTAAGTTTAGCTAAGTGACCTAAGTGTCGTCCTTTTGACTTTAAACAGTCAAGTCATTCATTTTATTTGCTTCACTGCTGGCATGCTTTCTTGGGAGTGGATACATTGTTCATTATGCCTACACAGCTACATGCCTAATAAACAAAATAGTGCACTTGAGAGATTGATGCAAGGACCATTGAAGATTTGATGACACTTTATGCTTCTAAAATATAGTTCTTAGAATTCTCTCATCCTAAACATATAGTCTCCAAAATGAACTCATTAAATGAAACTTTACAAAATATCCCTGTTCCTTTTCTTTGAAAAATCAGTTTATAATGTCTATGTTAAAGCATTTCTTGAAATCTTCTTTTAAATTAATTTGAAAAGCTTTTCAAGCAAAATAAATAAGAATAGGAATGTTGATAATAACACTTCATATAAAACAAGTGCTTATCATAATATAAATGTCAGCTTAATCGTGAGGCTAGAGTAATGCTTTATCTCAAACAATATTGACAAAAGTGGGTTCTTAAAAAGAAATAGTACCTAAAAAGATCTCTATAAAGAGTATTTGTCCTATAACAAGGGAAGTGTGTTGTACTTTCTCCAGAAAATTCTTAGCCTATTTTAGTGCCTTAAATCAGCCTCAGCGAAGGTTTTGTCTTAGCTAAACAAATAGCTCTTCAATGTAAGACAATTTCACCTTAGAAGAGCAAGTCCGTATGAAATTTATCTTCATCTGAGAATTATTTTAAGACAGCTGCAGTAATTATCCTTTATATTCATTTTTATCCCAAATTTATTTCATGTTGATTGAATGTGATAACAAATTTAAAATTTTTCTATCCTTTATAGACCCTATTTTATCTTTCTAGTTTATTATCCATAAACATTTTTAATTCCTTTACTATTCAGAGTACTTTCATGCTGTTCTGTAAAGGAACTCTGAAGGGAAATAGAAGGAAAAATTTATTTTAAGTATACAATCATAGTCTTTTCATGGATGTTGTTAGTTTCTACAACATAGCATTAACACATATATGTTTCTTTGTGTTAAAACAAGTTGTGACACAAAATTAATAATATGTTTCAGAACAGGAAAAGAAAGAAAAACATGTGGAACCAGGTAACTTTTTAATTACTTCTATCCTCTTAATTTTATATTATTATTTAATTTACAATTGAGGACTGAATTGCAATAGAATGGCATGAAACATTGATGTTTTTTCTTTTCTTATTTGATGCAGCAAAGTCACCAAAAAAGGAACATTCAGGTGAGTCAGACCGGGAGTGCAGGGTTCTTTCTGCATTATGCCCAATGTTTATTAATGCTACATCCTTAGACAGGTGGTAAGGGGTTTGACAAGAAAGGACTAGAAATCCTTCCATCTCACAGTCTTTTTTCCAAGTTCTTGACATAGAGTTAGCACTAATGCAGTTTTAGAAAATGGAAGTCAAAGCATATTCACACTCATGCTACTCAATATATGTTCTACGACTCAGCAGCATCAGGATCCCCAGAGAGGTTGTTGGAAATGCATTATCTCTGGCCCCATGCCAGATCTACTGAATTGGAATCTGCAGCTTCCCAGTGGAGTTGTCAGACCAGTGTTTGAGAAGCACTGCTTTACCATTTAGTGTAAAAAATCCAAAACAAAACAAGAAAAAAACATTTTCTGTAAATGCATCTAATATTGCAAATATTCAATTACAGCAAAGATTCTCTCCTTATTCATAATGTTACTAATGACATTTCTTGAGTACTCCAGGGAGTTGTAATGAGATGAGGTAGATTTTTGCCCTCAATGTATTATCTTTTGCGGGGAAAATAGAGTTGAGAATCAGACAAGTCAGAAAGACACACATACAAACAAAACTAAAAGTTAAGTTGGTGTAGATACCAAATGGTTTTCTTAAAGGATTCTAGTATTTAACCTGTCTATTAGTTTCAAATGAAAAATTCAAGCTTCTGAAACTTTTTTATTTAATTTATTTTAAAACATTATGTTGATTTTGCCTGGCAAACACCTACTCAAGGAAATTCACTACGTGTGTGTGTGTGTGTGTGTGTGTGTGTGTGTGTGTAAGCAGTTGTACCCTCATATAATGTCCATTAGTTGCTCCTTCCATTTTATTGTATTTAAATGGAAATGGCATTACTCAATATTAGGTAAATTACCATGCAAATACAGTCCAACTGTACTCTTATCTCTGCCACAAATAACAGCAAAGCACAAAGTTCAAAGTCACATTTCTTATTCTTCTAAGTTTGTACAGCTTCCTTAGACAACCATATCTATTTATTCTCTTTCCAACTAGTTCCCATGGCACCATCCTCTTTTCTTTATAAGGCACTTAATATACTGTTATAATCATATTACCTTTTCTTTTTTTTACACTTTAAGTAGTCAGAAATTAAAGGATAAAATAGTTTTGCTTTTTTTAAAATATTTATTCCCAAAGTACCTATTATAATGCTAGGCACACAGTAGGCACCTGATAATTGGATGCAAAGAGAACAATCACATTTTTAAAAAATTTTAAAGATGAATGACTTTCAAATGAATTACAAGATGAAATGATCACATATTTCACCATTTCATATTATCCTTTGGGAAGGAATGTGTCATCTACCTTAAAGAATACAGACCATTCAAGGTAACATTCCCCCAAGTGGGCCATTATACATACTTTCACTTATGCACAAAAGCAGAAAGCTAAAATAGAGGATCCATCATAGAAACATAAACCTGGAGAAACATACAGAATGACTACAGGTATTATCAGTTTTAAGAGTTTTAGTGACTAAGCATTATGGTCTAACACTGAACCTGACAACATACAATAACTTAAATTGGTTGAAATCATTATCTGTTCATTTTGGGGTATATTAAAGTATAGCAACTTTGTAATAATTAACTGTGGTTTTAAAATTGAAACTATTGGGTAATTTGTTAATTCACTGCATTATTTTCATACCATTTTATAGAATTTAAGGAAAAAGCATTGGCTTACATATTAAAACTATTAAATTCTTACATAATTTAAAATGGAAAACAAAATCAATGAGCATTCTGTGTTGGGAAATGTGTATGCATGTAAAAAATGTCTATGGTTTGTGGCATACATTTATAGGATATCAAAGAAAGCAGCACAGTGTTGTATTTCATTTCTCAGATGTACTTATTTTTTAGTTTTCAAGTTTATAATACAGTCTTTAAAAAATTTTTAAAAACCTTAAAACTATTTCAGAGAGAGATGAATAGACAGAATTAATTTAGACCTTATAATTTTTCGTCCTTAACAGCTCCAAGTGACAAACAAGTAAAAGCAAGTATGTTGAATAAAACTTAAAAAAACTAAAAGCATCTTTCAGTAACTTATTTAAGTTTTCTGCTATTGGCAATGCTAATGCTAATGCTAATTTCTGACCCTGGTTCACTAAATGTTTCTTGCTATGATTATTTATTGTGTTGAAATAATATGTGCAATTATTCAACCTGCTCTTTTGTGTGAATTCATTCTTATTAAATTTCATACAGATATTTTCATTTGTAAATGATAACTTGTTCAGATTATAACCCCTTTTTGAAATTTGTATTTTTGTTTCCCATTTTGCAGAATGATAAGTGGTCTGTTCAGTTCCTTAAACACATCAGATTTAATTTTCCTTATGATTAATCACTTCTTCAAACCATTAGGTAACATAGTTTGGCCACCGGTGAAAGTCATTGTGCCTTTAATGAAATGCACCTCCAACAATTTTATTAACTGTTTTGTAATGTCATAATTTCCTTTCAACATTTATATCTTCAGATTATGAACACTGATTGATGACTGTAATGTACTGGGCATTTGCATCACTAGTAGCTTTGATACTATGCTGAGGGAGAAATGATGATTTGTTTGTTGGTGTTCCTCAATTCAATGAGTATCTAAAACATTATCACTAATGAGATTATTTGAGGCACATAGCATGTATTTGATTTTACAAAAAAATATACTTTTAGGTTCTCAAGCTTTGAATATGGAATATACATATATGGTCATGTTCATAGCAGGATTATGAACATGGTCCTGCTGGTCTATGACCATGAGCTGGTCCAACCTCAGCTGCATACATGATGTAAATATGTTTATAATGATGGTATTAATACATAAAACAAATGCATGTTTTATTTAGCAGTAGATTTTTAAGACAAGAGTATATCACTGGTCATTGTATTGGAGAAAATTGGAAAATAGAACATTGAACAATTTGGTGGGAATGTCTTTTGCTAAAGAAAAATTGCAATTGGAAGTGTTCATAGACTTTGTAGATGTTGATTGAGAGTTGTAAGGTGAACCTAAAATTCCATTTGTATTTCTATGAAAATTTTTAGTTGAATGTAAAGTTGATTGGATCTCTATATTATGGAGTCTTCAGTATGCTAATACTTGGTAGAAATGCATAGTCAAGAAAATATATAAGACAAAATTGATAATTTTGTAGTACTGATAGAGAACTTTAGATTGAAGATAACTCTGAAAATGATCATATTCTTCCTAGAAAAATGCAACAGGTAGATAAAAGTGTTGATTTGCAATTTTAAAAAGCCCTGTAAGTTCTTCTATCTATAAAAAACACACTATCTAATCAAGTTCTGTAAAGATCAGTGTCTTTTGCAGGAAACTAGCAAATTAGGTTGCCAAATCAGCAAATTAGGCCCAATATAGAAGTTCCAAAAGAATTAATATTCAACTTCCTACATGGTAAAGAGATTTGGACTTTACTTGCTCTTTATCCCTTACTACCAAATTTAATTAGAGATGGTGCATAAATTATTAATTTTTTTTATTAACAATGTTACCATCCACTTATCCAACTAAGAACTGTTTTTCGTTTTTTGTTTTTGTTTTGAAACCATACAACAGAACAGAAGAACTTTAACATAGCTGCTATGTACAGTGGGCTATTTGTAAAGTTAATGCCTAAAGTGAAAATTGCATATCATTACAAATACTCTTGAAAATTCCTTTAATCACCCATATAATGTGGAACACATAGTATTGTATATATAACCTGAACATTCAGGATCCAATTTTACATTATCTTAAATTACGAGAGCAAATAAATTCAGTTTAACTCTTTACAGAAGCCATGCTGGTATGAGTAGCTATAGTTGATTAATTTTACTGCTGTATAGTATTCCACTGTTTGTGTGAGTGTGTGTGTGTATTCTACACCTTATATATCCATTGTCCTGACAATGGACACTAGATTATGTTCAATTTTGTGCTTTTATAAATAATCCTGCTATGAATATTCCCATATATGTCTCCTGATACATAAGTGCAAGAATTTTCTCAGAATTGAAATAAATGGGTCATAGCATTTGTTTATGTCTAACTTTTCCAAATAAATACCACATTTTCCCCCAAATTTTGAATTAACACCAATAGTGTATGTGATAGTTTCTATTGTTTATTATCACCATCACCAAAATGCTCATTTTCCCCCAGTTTTGGTCAATCTGGTGTGTGTAAAATAGTATCTTATTGTGTTTTTAAGTAAACTGTTATTATGAGAGGGTGAGATGTATAATTTAATTAATATAAATAAGTATGTGATACAATCCCATGGTACTGAATTTTAAAAGATGGCTGAGATTCACAGAGTTAGAGCAAGTCCATGGAAAAGGAAAAGATAATTTGTCATTAGCGCTTAATTAAAGGGTATAACTAGAATATACATTGAGTTTGTAGTGTGGAACTGTTCACTCTAGGTCTTGAGGAAACCAAAATCCCTGTAGGAAAATCACTGGAGGATACAGACAAGATTGGAAACTGTACCAACTCAGGGTGAAGATTCTCAGGGTATCAAAAAAATTGAAGCAAAGCAACACCTTTCAGGCTCAGTGATGTAGCACTACTGAAGGCCACTTATACCACCACATATAGTTATGTGGCTGGAGGAAGAGCTCCTTGGGCCAAGGAGTGATGTCAAATCTAGGTTTATAATTTGTGCATCAGCAGACATTCTTTCCTCCTAGCACATACAAAAATATCTCGACACACCCAATTCAGCTCCCTGCTGTCCACTTTGCCAGCCTCCCCAAACATAAAATATGGGCTGACAATCTGATTAGTCATTTCCAAACAGAAGAAGAGCAACAAATAGATTTTTAGATTCTAGGTCATTTCTTATTGTTAACACTCTCTTTGGTGAATCTTCAAGAGGGAATGTAGTAGATACTTAGCAAATGTACTTGAGCACATCACCCCCTTTTTGTTCAAAGAACACTGGAAGGACCAGTGCTCCTCAAGACTGGAGCACTGCCATATGTCACTTCATACCTCAAGACCATGAGACTTCAATCATGTATTCTACATGTATGTCTGACCAGCAATATGGTAAAGATGTACATTTTTATTGCTATTCATTAAAATGGACACATAAGTTACATGCCTTTATTCCTTTCACTAAGTTATATATTTTGTAATTAGGCAAGTTTTAAAAAATAGAGAATGAGAAGACAGAAGTGTTGACATTAAGTGTAGAGCTCTCTGGAGGCTGTGATGGACCACAGAGAGATGAGGTAGTTCAGGTGAGTGGGGGACACATAGACATGAAGGATGTAGTTGTCTGCGGTTACAAAGAGTGACATACTGTATTTCTGAGCTGATGTGAAAGCATCATTGAAGTGAAAAACTGATAAGGTAGCAGAGAGAAGTGATACTTGTAAGAACAAAGGCCTTGACCAGGAAAAGGAGATGTGATTCAGGGCAAAAATGGATGTATTGGTATCAAATAGGGAAAGGAACTGATCATCCCAGACTCATTTACTCAGAATCTCAATCTTATAAGACTCTGTATCATGTCCCAGGCCTACTACATCTGAATCTCATTGACTTAAAATTTAATTCCCCATCTTATTCTAATGAACAGCATGATTGAAAGGGGTTCTTAATGAAATCTCACAGTAGTGGTAGAGGATGGGATGATAACTATGGGCAAAAACATTCACTGAATGATGAGACAAAGGCATGTTTGGATAATGACAACAAAAAAGGGGGATAGAGCCTCTCAAGCTGGTAATGTGTACTTTAAAAGAACTAGGATTTGGAAGAAGTGAGGAGTTCAGAATGTTTGAGAAATAATACAGAAGATAAGAGAAGTAAAGAGGTTCAGGCTCTTTGGTATGTAAGGGGTGGAAAAACTGCTCAAACAGCATTTTCCATTTTAGCAGACTGCATGCAGGGAGTGCAGTCTCTTCAGGGAGCAAGGGTTACGTTACAAGAGGAAGCAAAGCACACGTTCTGAGAAAAGGCTGAGGACACAGGGGCATGCACTGTGATGGAGAGATGGCACAGTGGGAGTACTTTGGACATGGGTCTGTTTTGAAAGAAAGATGAAGCCTTGCACACTCTTTTTTGCCGGAAGCCTAGATTCTTGGTAGAAACTGAGGTAAACGGGTATGGAGACCAGAGGCAGATTGCTCCTGATCATCTCTTGGGGGAAGTTTGGTCTGAAACAGGAGAATAGCATCATCTGGGGACCGATTAGAAATGCAGATCCCCTGGATATGCCCCAGATCTCTGAACCAAACCCTCTGGGCTCCGTATCTAAACAGCCCTACTCCCTGACTGATGCAGCTAAGGTTTTGAGAACCACTCATGTAAAATCTTCACCTGGACGGACAGCCAGGGGTCTGCTGAGTCCTGGAGCTCCAGGTCTTGAGACAGCCTGGAGAAGAGGATATTCATATGGCTCCTTTTCTGGGCTTAAATTGTGAAGCATGTGGTACCTAACATTGTGGAATTAAAACCTGGAGTGTGGCATGGACTTCTGCTGACATCTGATCTTTCTCACAGCCCGAGGCCTAGGGCCCAAGGAGAACCAGGAAAGGCATGGAGACTCCTGTTGCTGGGTTGTTCCCAGAGCCTCAGCTGCTAGGTGTATAAGAGTGAGGGAGATATGTATCCATACTAATGAGTAAAAATAAAAAGCCAGATGGCCAAGGAGGATAGTCTCAGAAAAAATTTTAAAAATTAATACATCGAGTAAATAACAATTTGTAAAAATTCCTCAGCTCATTGTTATTTTTCATATTTTCCTATGGACTAGAGAAAACCTCAACTTTAGTTAGCCTGCAGTGAAGTCCAATATTTTGTGCTTGGGCCAGCCTTTCAGATCATGTCTGAAGGGCAGATTTCTTATCTTCCAAATTAGACACTTAGAGAAATTCCAAGAAGTCATTTGGGCTTTTTAAATTATTTTTTATTTCTTCTTTCTCTCTCTCCAAGCAATATTCAAATAAAATTTTCTATATTATGACCAATATGTTATAATGTAAAGCTAACTAATTGAAGTCAAATACTTTTTTGCCACCTCTGTAATTAAAGGCTACGCAAACAAAAATTTTTTTCCATGTCCTCTTCACAACTCATACATTTTAGATTTGAATATACATGAATTAATTAGTACTACAGGTAGTTTTTGGAAAAAGTCACCTTCTTTTACGGTCACTGCTTACATAGGTAATACATTTTAATACTATAGAGTCATATCTTGGAAGAGAGTTTCTGTACTGTTATTTTAAAAAGTTCATTAGTTGGAAAAAAACACTTTATAGCATGGCTTTCTCTGCTGCTTGCTTTGCAATCAGGTGCCACAGACACTTTATCTTTTAGGAAATTATAGTCTTATCTGGCTTACAATCCTATAAGATATTGACCTGGCATTTCTGATATTCATTAATCATCCTTTAACATCTGAATTTGCAGAAACTGAACAAGCCAAAGAAGAGACTGGTGCTGCCTCAACTAAAAAAGGTAAGTACAGCTTAAAGAAAAATATGTCATGACTATAGCTTATTTTTGCTAAAGTTTCTAACTTAATTGTACTGTTCAGAGCTTTCAGAGGAGCTCAGTTTATTAATTTTACTCTTTCTTTGATACAGAAAGAAACCACTTTGTACAATATTCCTAGTATATATGTTAACAAGGCTTTGTGTTCAGTGTTCTGATGCCAGTCAGATTCATTTCTTTAGGGCCATAAATTAAAACTAGCAATTAAAGTCCAATTACAAGTCAGTTTTTTTAAAAAAATTGAAGAACTGTAGCTATTTATTCAATAGGATTCCTGGAGAGCAATTATCTGGAGAGCATTTCAATTATCTGGAGAGCATTTAAATTTAATAGACTGCCTTAGAAAGTTAGGGTTTGAACAAAGGAAACTTTACCTAGAAGAAGTTACATGAACAATATTCATTTTGAGTATGAATAATATCAAATTAGAAAAAAATGTGTTCCTTGAAGTGCTCAACTATAGACATTTGCTCAAAGAAACACATTGGGAAGTTTGGAATTTAAGTTTTCAAAGCTGTTACTTTTGTCATGTTTAATCAGAAGAAACTACTTATGTGACTACTGACTCCTTTTAGGTGACATTTTTAAGAATATTTTAAGAACATTAATATACATTAAAAACAATCATCATGATGAAAAGTTTTACATATTCTCAACTCAAAGTAAACTGGAACAATTCTGAAATTGGTGATTCTGTTTTACAAGGAGACATAAATGATTCAGTAATGTATCCAATGTCATTGTAAGTACCTCAGTAGACAATTTAACAACCCTGTACTTACCATATGCTCACAAACACAAAGACACACAAACCTATACACACACCCATTCACATGTACTCCACTAAAACAACATAGCATTTCTCTTTAAAAACATTCTTATTGAATTTTGGGGAAAAAAAGATGGTGGAGTAGAAAGGCGAGGCAGAAACCTCCTTGTACATACACACACCAAGGAAGCAACTACAGAAAATACAGCTAACTCTGAAAATGACCTGAAGACTACAGTACAGACCACCTATACCTAGTGAGAATAGGACACCACATAGAGAAAGGTAGAGTGGCAGAGCCACTGTCAGAACCCCAGCCCTTTCCTCATCCCAGTTCACAAGTGGGAGGGAGAGGAACAGTGCAGGGGCAGGGAGAGGGTAAGCACTCAGAAACTCTGCACGTCTGACCCCGGAGATCTACTCTGGAAACATAAGTCCACATTGCACTGGGCTTTGGTGATTAATGGGGCTGGACACCAGGGAGAATTGGAGCACTCTGGGAGACAGACTCCTGCCACTTGTGGAGGACAAGCACACTCTATTGGTCCCACTGAGACCCAACACAGAGGCATCAGTTAAAGACTTACCAGCGTCAGGAAGGGTGCGAGAGGAGCAAGAGTTGGACAGAGCTCCGTCTGCAGGAGAAATAGCCAGGAATCACACATCTGCAGTCCTCACACAGCCCAACTAGTCAGGTTCTCCTAGGAGCCCCAAAGCTTCATTCCCCTCATTGGTAGCTCAACCTTGAGGTTCTTACCTGCATGTCTGCCCCCCTGACCAGCTGCTTAGCCCAGGAGCATCAGACTTTCCTGCCTGGTAAGCAGAGGGAGGCTTTCCCAGCTTTCTAGGTCCCCCCTGGGGAGGTGCCTGTGGGAGCCAACTCCATGCTCTCTTCTCTCCTTTCACGAGGGTCAAACAGGCACTGTACACCCACATGCCAGCCTCTACATGCCTCATAAACATTTTCCCATCAAAGATCTGTGGCGCTGACCTCACTCACCCTATTAGCCCAGCAGTGCCACCATCTCTGCAAGGAAGGCAGAGGGAATCCCCACCCACAATGATCCGAGCAGAAGCACAGCTGCTCGGCTCACAAGGGCCATCTGAGGTGAGCTGCCATCTGCAGCTGCCTGAGATAGACCACTGCCAGAAGACAGACAGGAGGTGGCCCCACCCTTAGCTCACCAACAAATGAGGCTTCACCACAAAGGAGAACCAGACACTGGACAGTAAAGAGTCTGGGGCTTCTGGACATCGCAAGCTGCCTTCTTCGTAAAGCCATTACTCCATAGACCCGGGGGCATGCTGAATCTATCTAAGAAACACAGAAACCCTGGCAAAATGAGGAGACAGAGGAATATGGTTCAAACAAAGCTATAGGATAAGACCGTGGAAAGAGGGCTAAATGAAACAGAGATCACCAATCTTCTTAATGAAGATTTCAAAGTAACAGTCATAAATATGCTTGCTGATCTGTGGAGAAGTTTCCTGTGGGAAAGTATTCACGGTTTCATGGAGGACTTCAACAAATAGGTAGAAGATAGAAGAGTTGAAAAAAAGACCCTCAGAGCTGAAGAATACAGTAACTGAAGAGAAATATACAATGAAGGGAATGAATAAATAAATAAATCGCTATAAGTAGAGGGGACCATCAATGAAATGGAAACAAGAGAACAGGAATGCAACAAAGCTGAGGAATAGGGAGAAAAAAAAATCTCTAGAAATGAGAGGATGCTAAGAAAACTGTGGGAAAACTCCAAATGATAACATTCACATAACAGGGATACCAGAGGGAGAGGAGAGAGAAAATGGGGTAGAAAGTCTCTTTAAAGAAATAATTGCTGAAAACTTCACCATTCTGGGGAAGGAAATAGACACTCAGGTTATAGAAGCACGGAGAGCCCCTAACAAGAGGAACCACAGGAAGACAACATGAGGATATGAATAATAAAAATGACAGATATTAAGAATAAGGAGTGGGTATTGAAAACAGCCAAAGAGAAAAAAATAAAGGAAACCCTGTCAGGCTATCAACAGAATTCTCAGCAAGAGACTTTACAGGCCAGAAGGGAGTGACATGAAATATTTAATATATTGAAAGAGAAAAACCTTCAACAAAGAATAATCAACCAAGCTAGCAAGATATCATACAAATTTGAAGGAGAGATCAAACATTTCCTGGATAAACAAAGGTTGAAGGGACTGCCATTCTAAATTTACCATGACTAAATTTCCTGGCATTACAGGATATGTTAAAGAAACTGCTGTGCATGGAAATGTTCTGAAGTCTCAATAGTTTTCACCTGTGAAAAGAAACTTACAGTAAATGTAGTAGAGCAATTACTTACGAAGGAAGTATGAAATTTAAAAATGAAACAAAAGTAGTAAATTGAACTATACACAAAATCAGTCAAGGTATAAACAAAAAAATGCAGATTATGACATCTAATACATAAAATATAGAGAAAGAAGTAAAAAGAAATACTTTTAGATTGTGTCTGAAACAGAGATAATCAACTTAATATAGATTATAAATAGAAAAGGACCTTATGGTAGCCACAAACCTAAACCCTATAATATACAAAAGTAAAGAAAAATCCAATCACTACACTAAAGAACACCATCAAATAACAATAGAAGAGTGCAAGAGTGGAAGAAAGGATAGAGAGGAAGTACAAAAAGCAGAAAACAATAAACTAAATAGGAACAAGTACATACCTATCAATAATTACATTAAATATAAGTGGACTGAATAGCACCAATCAAAAGACATAGGTTGACTGAATAGGTAAAGAAGCAATACCCATATATATAGGGCCTACAAGAGACTCATTGGAGACCTAAAGATATACAAAGACTGAAAGTGCAGGGGTGGAAAAATATTTAATGCAAATAATAAGGAGAAAAAAACAGGATAGCAGTACTTATATCAGAAAACACAGATTTCAAAACAAAAAAAGTAACAAGAGACAAAGAAGGACATTACATAATGATAAAGTCCAACAACAGGTTATGACCATTGTAAACATTTATGAAACCAACACAGGAGAACCTAAACAAGTAAACAAATACTGAATAAAATGGGGAAATAGACTGCTAGTCATTCTTATTTAGGGGACCTTAACACACCACTTCATCAATGGACAGATCAACTAGACAGAAAATAAATAGGGAAACAAAGGAACTGAACAACACAGTATATCAGATGGACGTAACTATCTACAGAACATTCCACACAAAAGCGGCAGTATACACATTTTTCTCAAGTGTATATAAAACATTCTTCAGAATAGATCACATATTGGGCTAGAGAAAGAACCTAAATAAACTAAAAAAAATTGAAATTGTGTCAAGCACTTCTCAGATCACAAAATTGTAAAAGTAAAAATTAATACAAAGAAAAAAATCAACTCCCAAACACATGGAAGCTAAACATGCTTCTAAACAATTAATGGATCAATGAGCAAATCAAAACAATTCAAGCACTACATGGAGACAAATGAAAACAAAAATATAACAATCTGAAATTTGTGGGAAGCCACAAAAGCGGTTCTAAGAAGGAAGTAGCAATACAGGCCTACCTGAAGAAACAAGGACAATCCCAAACAAGCACTCTAAACTCACAATGATAGACACTATAGAAAGAAAAAAAACCAAAGTATGTAGAAGGAGGGACATAATAAGTATCAAAACAGAAATAAATAAATTACAGAAGAAAAAATGAATAGAAAAAATTCAATGAAACCAAGAGCCTATTCTTCGAGAAAATAAAACAGACAAACTCCTAAACACACTGATCAAGAAAAAAAGAGAGAGGACACAAATAAACAAAATAAGAAATGAAAAAGTAATAGTTACAGCTGACACCACAGAATACAAATTATTTGAGGATTTTATGAAAAATTATATGCTAATAAATGGAACAACCTAGATTAGACAAATTCCTAGAAATGTAAACCTTCCAAGACTAACCCAACAAGAAGAAGAACATCTGAGCAGACCAATTAACAGCAACAAAATTGAATTTGTAATAAGAAAACTCCCAAAAAACAAAAGTTCCAGTATCAGATAGCTTCACAGATGAATTTTGCCAAACAGTTAAAGAAGAGCTAATGCTATTTTTTCTTAAAGTATATGAAAAGTAGAACAGTAGGGAATACTTCCAAATACATTCTATGAAGCCATCATCATTTTT